GACCCTTAAAAAACAACTGTAAACCAAAACTGGGCTAAATAGAGTAGAAGCTGTTCCCATTCTGCACAAAGAATAAGACAGCATAGATTTAAAGAGATGTACAAACAAACCAAGAGTGATGTGAGAAAAAACTTTTGCACACCATGTGGTTAGGGTAAGGAATGCATTATTTGGAAATGTGATGGCGGCAGGTTCAATGGAGGTATTCAAGAGGACATTGGATAATTATTTGGATAGAACTATTGTACAGGGATATAGGGGAAAAGGCAGGAGGTTGGCACTAGATAATTGAACCGGTGCAGGTATGATGGTTGAATTGCTTCCTTCTGCGCTGTAACAATTCTGTGATTCTGTGAACTCATCTACCTCTACTTTATAACTCCAGTTCCAGAACAATGGTAACATATTAGGAACCTTCATCACTGAGAGATTACTTTGCTGAGTTAACATCTGACAGTCCTAATTATGAGCCCAAGATAATCACAGAGACCATGACTCATTCTACTGAAGGAATCAGAAAGAGATTGTAGAAGCTTTGAAGACTTGAACAGCTCTTACTTTTGATAAAGGGTGCAGGCTTCTATTTTACTGTATGCATTCAAAGAAAGCAGTTTATAACATCAACAGGCTGCAACTTCCTCCACCAAAATGCATCCTTCAGAAATTTACTATTACTCACATTCTGAGGAACACCTTTATAATATGATTAATTAGGGATGGTGATGCTCGAGTGATATTATCACCAGACCATTAATCCAAAAGTTCAACTAATGTCCTGTGGACCTCATTTCGAATCCCACCATGGCAGATGGTGGAATTTGAATTCAATAAAGATATCCGGAAACAAGAATCTAATGATGACCATGAAACCACTACTGATTGTCAGAAAAAAAAGATATCTGGCTCATTAATGTCCTTCAAAGAAGGAAATCAATCATCCTCACCTGCTCTGGACTACATGCGACTCCAGGCCCTCAATAATGTAGTTGACTCTCAACTGCTCTCTGATATGGCCAAGCAAGCCACTCAGTTGTATCAATTGCTATCAAATCTCAACAAAGAAATGAAACCGGACGGGCCACCTGGCATTGACTTAGGCACTGGAAACAACAACAGCAAAAACAGCCACATCGACACTGCAACATCCTATTTATTGTCTCACAGACTAGTCAAGTAACACCCTGACATAGCCATACTCATTGAATCATACCTGACAATGTCCCAGACACCACCATCACCATTCTTGGATATGTTCGTCCCACCGGTAGGGCAGAGATGGTGGTACAGTGGTTTACAGTTGGGAGGAAGTTGCCCTGAAAGCCTTCAACATTGCCTCTGGACCTTATTAAATCTCATAGCATCAGGTTAAACATGGTCAAGGAAACCTTTTGCTGATTACCACGCTCTGTCTTCACTCAGCTAATGAAAGAGCGGTCCTCCGTATTGATCAACACATGGAGGAAACTCTGAGGGTGAAAAATGTACCATGGGTGAGGGTTTTCAATGTCCATCACCAGGAGTGGCTCAGCAGCAGCAGTTACCACCACATCAATCTACTCTGGATCATCAATAAAGTGTTGGCAGATGTTACCAACAGTACTATCAAGCAGTACCTGCTGAGCAATATCGTGCTCAGTGATGCCCAGTTTGGGTCCTGCAAGGACCACTCAACTCCTGACATCATTACAGCCAAATATAGACAAAAGAGCTGAAATCCAGAGGTGAGGTGAAAGTGACCGTGTTTTTATCAAGGCTGCATTTGACTGGAGATGGATCAAAGAGCCTGAGCAAAACTGGATTCAATGGGAACCAGGTGGCAAATTCTCCACTGGTTGGACTCATACCTGGCACATAGGAAGATGGTTGTGGTTGTTGACTGTCAGTCATCTCAGTTCCAGGACATTTTTAAAGGAGTTCCTCAGGGTAGTGTCCTAGGCCCAACCATATTCAGCCCCTTCAGTAATGACCTTCCCTACATGATAAGGTCAGAAATGGGGGTGTTTGCTGATGATTGCACAATGTTCAGCACCATTAGCAACTTCTCAGATACTGAAGCAGTCCATGTTCAAATACAACAAGATCGAGTCAATATCCAGGCTTGGGCTGAAAAGTGGCAAGTAACATATGCGCCACACAAACTCCAGGCAATGACAATCTCCGATAAGAGATAACCTGACCACTGCCCCTTGACTTTCAATGGTGTTGCCATCACTGAATCCCCCACTATCAACATCCTGAAGGTTATCATCAACCAGAAACGGAACCAGGCCCACCACAAACACCATGGCTACAACAGCAGGTCCGGGGCTAGGAATACTGCAGCAAGTAACTCACCTCCTGACTCCCCAAAACCTGTCCACCATCTAAGGCACAAGTCAGGAAGGTGATGGAATGCTCTCTTTATGCCTGGATGTGTGCAGCTCCGACAAGATTGAAGAACAATCCAGGACAAAGCAGCCCGCTTGATTGCCCCCACATCCACAAGTCACCATTCCCTCCACCATCGACGCTCAGTAGTAGCAGTGTGTACTATCTACAAGTCGCACTGCTGACATTCTCCTAAGATCCTTAGACGGCACCTTCCAACCCCACAACCACTTCCATCTTGGACAAGGGCAGCAGACACTTGGGAAACACCATCATCTGCAAGTTCCCCTCCAAGCCACTCACCATCCTGACTTGGAAATATAGCACTGTTCATCCAATATTGCTGTATCACAATCCTGGAATTCTCTCCCTCAGGGGATTGTGGGTCAACCTACAGCACATGGACTGCAGTGGTTTAAGAAGGCAGCTCACCACCACCTTCTCAAGGGCAACTAGGGGACAAGCAATAAATGCTGGCCAGCCAGCAATGCCGACATTCCTTGAGTAAATAAATGAATAAATAAATTGAAAGGGTTGGGAAATTAATCCAATTACAGGAAGCAGATTGTGATATCCTTATCCAGATACTGCAGTCCATTATCCGTACCCTGAGTATTTTGGCCATCTCACTTGAAAACATTCACAATACATGAAATATGAGGAGTAAATCTATAGTCTGGGTGCACAACAGTCCACTTTGTCAGTCTTAATGTCACTCCATTCTTCACCATGCATTGCTAGTAGTATTTCAGCCCATTATCAAGTCTGTGCTTGTTTTGAATTAAATGATCATCCTGTCTTTAAGTGATTTGTTCACAATGGCTTAATTTCACACAAACATTTAGGCCATTATTGCATTAAAGAGATCTCCACAACTCTGTCCCATTCCTCAGAAGCAGTGACACTGTAATTGTCATTAATAATTCCTAAAACTTACATGACACTGTTTGCTGCAGTGATACTCAAATCACAGGATAGAGATCTGCCTCTGAATCAGTCACTGAATTTGCAACATCAATAAACATAGCCATTCATTATGTCATATCCTGAGTTATGGACGTCAATACCATTAGAATTAAATCTCAGACTTTAGTTTTGTAGCCGATAAACAAAGCTTGGAGCTCTATGTGTAGAAAATAATTATCACCAATTTGTACAAATTTATAATGGGCTGTTCGAAAGAATCTTATCAGCTTTGAATACAGACCCATCCTCACCTCCTCAGACTGACATGGATATCGCTACGGAAAAGGTTGGAATAAATAGAATAAAAAGTCCAGCTATTCCACACGGTGCCCAATTCAATGACCTTCTTTGAATCGTTAAAACATATTTATTAAGTTACATTAGTTTGGTAGTTCTGATTATTTTCTCGCACACTCCACTCCCCCAAAATCCCAGTTCATCTTGGCCACAGAGCCACGCTCTGTGAATCTCAGCTGAAAATGGATATCTCAGCCATTTGATTGTTTCATGTCCTGCTATCGCATTAACTGATTAATAACTGATAAGTCACGGTTGTAATGGGATTTTGCCACGATATTTCTTGTCGGTAGAGTGCATTTTTTTTCGTATACCTCTGGGTTTCTATGTCAATAGCCTGCGTAAGCTTGCAAATGTCTGCCAAGCTCAGCAGGGTTACCGAGGTGACACGGAAACTATTTTTAGACCAAATACAAATCTTGAAAGTGTCGGTAACCACCCAGCAAGAAGTGAGCCCAGTCATTCTCTGGCCCTGAGATAGTAGGTTTGGTTGTTTTTTGCATGCGCCTGCCGGCCTTTTGACCGTGATAAGAGTGTCCTTGTCCAAGGTGCTGATCGTTGGCCTTTCACGTTGTGGCAATCCCCAATTCTCCCTCAGCAGGGCTTGCGTATAACATCGCACTCCGAGTATTCACCACGTGTATTAAGAGTTTACCAGCCCCTCTTTAGAATGAAGCGAACATACAAGCGCCCAATAGAGATGAACGATTTGCGGACCATGTCGATACTAGTTATCACTGACCGTCACTTCCCCACGGGGCTATTAAACTGAGGAGGCGGGGGGCGGGGAGAACTGGTGTTAGTAGGAATGGATATGTTTTTATTATGGCAGAGAAAGCCCTAAATTCAAATGAAGGACATGAGAAACGGAGGTATTAGGCAAATTAGTTTGAAAATTGTGGCGGGGTGGAGGGGGGGGGGGTGGTATTTTCAAACCGCTCAGGTGAAGCGGACAGGGAGTATTTTCTGATGTTTTTATTTTTAAACGAAGTCTCACTGGGAGACCATTCGGATCCCCCGTCCCAACGTTGCGGGAGGGAGGTCGGTTTCATTTGGAAAAGCTTCGGTGGTTTTGGAGGTTTAAGCAGTTGGGGAGAGATTGTGAGTGAGTTTCACACTCAGCGGTTTCCCACATGGTGGGGCGGGGGAGCCAAAGCGGTGCGCAACGGCACGTTGTTACTGGATGTGGATATTTTTAAAACTCTCTGGAGTCGGAACATCCAATAAATAATTCATCGGAGCCCGGGCTGGAGCTCCTCGCTGATGTCAGCGCTCTGTGCAAACGGCGGACGCTTGCAGAAAGTGCGAACTCCGGGCAGCACTGCGCAGGAAATGGGACTGTTGGACTGCGAGCATGTCAAAGACCAGAGATGGGTAGCCTGAACAAGAGCTTGGCGTTTCTTACTGCCGCAATTGGGATCGGCTTGTTATCCGGAGCTCAGGTTAGAAAGCCAGGGAGATGCCCAGCCCGCTGCAGCTGTACAAGGGACACTGTCATGTGCATTGGAACTTCATCTGTCCCGAGGATTGTCCCCAATGATATAATCTCCCTGTAAGTAACCAGCAGCCAGTACAGTGTTTGTCTAGTTTCTGTTCTGGACCTGACTGGGAATGAACTGACAATCCTTATGCTTCAGCTGACAGTAAGCACCGCTTTAAACTAAAATAAAATGCAAACAGGGGAATGAAGTTTAAATTGAACGACCAGTGAGAAAGATTGTTCATATCATTCTCATATAACTGAATTTCACTGCACTGTGCAAACATTCAAATAACACTCATTTATTCCAGAAACAGAATGCTAGCGCTGAAGGTAGCAAGGCTGGACGGCGGCTGGTAGCGGTGCAGGAGATTTAACAATCTGCCAATTTGTGATCCAACAGCAGTTTTGAAAGACGTTGACAGGATACCAAGTGAAGCTACTTTTGTTTTCAACTTTAATTTTTACTTCTTACACGAACCAACGGAACGTGGGGGTCTTTCAGCAAACGCTCCATCCCCCGTGGGAACGGCTGTCACCCACACTTCTTTTTCATTTCATTTCAGTGCCAGCTTTAAAACCAACAGATACCCTCCTGCTTCCACACAGCACGCACAAATTAAAGAAAAGGGTTGTCTTTGTGCGAAAGAATAAGTATTAGATTCGTTTTGAACTTTTACCATTCTAAGCAGCCATACTATAAGTCTGCGGAATCATCCATATTGCAAATGATTTCTGCTCAATGGGAAAGTGCAAAGAACTTTGAAAGAGAGAGACCGCTAGAAAACAAAACTGACTTAACTACACCATGGTAAATGGATGTGTCTTTCTCTTAGTTGGGAAGCCACAGAATCCTGTAAAGGAGTGTGTGTTTATTCAGCAGCAACATCTCACTGTCAGCTTTTCAAATCGCAGCAGTCATATCAAGGTCAATCTATGCTCATGACAAACAATTGCATCCTCTTAACGCTTTTGCTTGTATTTTGTTCCCAGGAGTTTGGTAAACGGAAGTTATCCTGAAATAACAGAAGGCATGTTCTCAAATTTGCCATTTTTGCAACTACTGTGAGTATTGCGCTCCTTTTCTGGGGATGGGTAAAGTATGGGCATCCTTTCACTGCCTTTCCAGATAGCCCAGTTAGATTCTGACGCAAATGTTATTAAGTTAAAAATAAAAGATTTGCCAAGTTATCAAACCTGCTGAGTTGGTAGAAGTGGTGAATCTGAAGTTATGAATTTTTCAGTGATAGATAACTAGAGGACACAAATGGCTCATCTTTGAAAATGGCGAGGAAGGCAAAAAATTAAGACATTTGACATTGGATGGATTCCTCATTCTCACAAGCTCAGCTAAGGAGTTCTAGGACAGAAGGCCCATTTGTGTTCTTTATTTGGGACCTTCTCAACTCATCAGCAGTCAAAGCTCTTAAGTGATCAATTACCTGTCATGTATGAGACTTAACTCAGTACCAGCCTGATCACTGCTTCGCACAAGATGGGAAAAGTGGCTGGTTTCCAAACTCAGAAACCAGGGCAATCTTCCTACTTGGGTGGCAGGGAGCCTCAATTTGCCTCAATCTGGGGCTAAACAAAGTCAGGGATAGAGAATGGGGATGGCCTCTGAAAACCAACACCCAGCCTTTCCTTCGACTCCCTTAACCTCACATTCCCCCAATGACCCCCATCCTGAAAAAAATACTTCCTTTCTTGCTGTTGCATCCCCTGTTCACTAGTCATGCAGAGACAATCTCTAGGACCCAACCTCTGTTTGACTGGCCTGCAATTCACTGAGAAGTGGGCAGTGAAGCTCTTAACAAACTGACTGGGGCAGACAGTCAGCCATCACTGAACATATTCACGCCTATACTTTGGCTGTAAGTTAGAAAATCTCCATCAGAGTTCAATGATACCATTGACTTTATCCGTGAAATTATTGTTTACACTGGACTGATGAGAGATGAAAACAATTTCCATTTGCTGTGGACATTTTCCTTTTTAACACAACATAGGAAGGGATGATAAGAACAAGAACAAAGAACAAAGAACAACAAAGAACAAAGAACAATCCAGCACAGGAACAGGCCCTTTGGCCCTCCAAGCCTGCATTGACACATTTTGCCCTTCCATACTAAAACTGACTTCATTTACAGGATCTGTATCCCTCTATTCCCTTCCTATTCATGTATTCATCCAGGTGCTTCTTGAATGCTGCTATTTTGTCTGCTTCCATCACCTCCTCTGACAGCACGTTCCACATACTCACCACCCTTTGTGTGAAAAAATTGCCTTGCACATCTCTTTTAAACTTCTCCCCTTGCACCTTGAACCTGTGTCCCCTAGTAATTGACCCTCTCTACCCTGGGAAAAAGCCTCATTCTTTCCACTCTATCCAGGCCATTCACAATCTTACAAACTTCTGTCAGGTTGCTGCTCAACCTCCTGCATTCCAGTGAAAACAAACCCAGCCTATCCAATCTTTCTTCATAGCTAAATCCCCCATACCAAGCAACGTCCTGGTAATCCTTTTCAGCACCCTCTCCAAAGCATCCACATCCTTCTGGTTGTATGGTCACCAGAACTGTATATAATATTCCAAGTGTGGCCTAACTAAAGTTCTATAAAGCTGCAGTATAACTTATCTATCCTTGTACTCAGTGCCCCTTCCAATGAAGGCAAGCATGCCATAAGCCTTTCTTACTACCTTATCCACCTGCACTGCCACCTTCAGTGATCTGTGGACCTGCACACCCAGATCCCTCTGCATATCAATACTACTAAGGGTTCTGCTGTTCACTGTATTTGACCTATATTTGACCTTCCAAAATACATCACCTCACATTTGTCCAGATTAAACTCCATATGCTATTTTTATGCCCACGCTTCCAACAGATCTATATCCCACTGTAACCTTTGACAACCCTCCTCATTATCTGCAACTCCACTAATATTTGTATTGTCACCTTATAATTCCAGAACACACCTAGTTGAGAAGTTGGCAGGTTGAAAACACCTAAAAGCCATAAATACTTTAGGAACATCGCCATGCTTTTTAAATTTTCAATAGAACTCAATGATTTTTTTTAAATTCATTTTTGCCAGATGAGCATTTTGGTACATGAGTATCTATAGCAAGGTCCGCATTTACAGCCCTTTCCTAACTGCCCTTGAGCTGGTAGTTAGACAGCCATCTACTTGCCAATATAAATAGGGAGATATAACTTGTCCACAAAATCTGAATAGCAGATTTCCTCTGCTTATGGACTTTAGTGAAACAGATAGGTATTTACAGCAATCAATGGCAATTTCAATTCCAGATTGATTAATTGAATTTAAATTCTAACAATTGCTTGTGTTTGGATTTAAATGGCTGTCCATAAAGCAGTTATTAGCCCAGTGACATTATTACAGTATCACCAAGTCCCAGTGCAAAAGAACAAAAGTAGGTCATTCAACCTCTTGAGCTTGTTCTGGCATTAAATTAGATCATGACTGATCTGTGCTTCAATCCCATTTAATTTCTTTTACTCCATATTTCTTTGATAGGATAAAGGGTGTGGGGCGATTGTGTTAGGTGGTGATAACATGTCCACTGAGAGGGAAAAGTCACCTGATCATGTCTAGTGACAGTCGAAAGGTGAACATAGGTATGTTTCTTGACCTATCACAGGTCTTGACATCAGCATCCTGGGTTGCCAGAAATTCCAACCTCAATCTATGTCAGCAGCTTCTGCACCCTAAAGGTCACAGGTCAAGGTCTACTCCATGGGAGATCTAGCAGCAATGAATTAAGTGATTTTTTTCTCTCCTTGCCTTTGGGCCGAGGTCACAGGGAGTGGGTTAGTTAGGGAGTTTGAGGTAGGCACAAAAATGGCTTTAATAGGCTCCCTGTTGCTTCCAATCCACTTGTGATTGCCTCCAGGTTGGCGCAAATGGAGGCTCATATGTGAAACTCCAACCCCTTTCACCCATTGGGAAGGTAGGTAATTAAGAAGGAGGCCATGTATGGCCGTAAAGTGGCCATTAGTGACCACTTAAGGCCTTCATTAGTGTCAGATTGAATGATTGCTTACAGACGTTTTTGCCCAGAACTAATTGATGAGGTATAAAGAAGTGCATGAGTATCCAAGGGTGAACTCATGGATAGAAAATAAGAGCAGCAGTAGGCCATTTGGCCCTTTGAGCCTGCTCCGCCATTCAGTACAATCATGGCTGATCATTCAACTCTATTGCTTGATCTTATTTATCCTCCATTGCATTGGAGGATAATCCTTGAAATCATACAAAGTTTTGGCATCAATTGCTTGCTACAGTAGAGAATTCCATAGGCTCACCACTCTCTAGATGGAGAAATTTCTCCTCATTTCGGTCCTAAATGGTTTATCCTTAGACTGTGACCACTGGTTCTGGAATCTTCTATCATTGGGAATGTTCTTCTTGCATCTACCTTGTCTAGTCAATTTAGAATTTTATAGGTTTTTGAGATGTCCCCTTATTCTTTTAAATGCTGACAAATACAATTCAAACCAGATCAATCTCTCCTCATGTCAATCCCATCATCCTAGGAATCAGTCTGGTAAATTTCACTGCGCTCACTCTATAGCAAAAGTATTCTTCCTTTGATAAGGAGATCAAAACTGCATACAACATTCCAGGTGTATATATAATCATGTTCCTCTCAACAGTACCCAAAGTGGTATATCTCTTTTGTAGAGGTTTGCCATAGAAAGCTCCTGAATTGCCTGGTCCTCTTGCTCTGCTTGGTGGTCATCTATTCCCTTTCTTCCTGTGGAGTCTGACCTAGTGGTTTGACCATCTCTCTATACATTCTATCCACAGTACACATGGCCTTATCAATGCTCTACAGTGTCCCAGCTTCAAAACATAGGTTTCTAGAACCTGCAGCTGGAGACACTTCCTGCACACATGCTGGCATCAGGCACTGGAAATGTTCCTGGCTTCCCACATAGAGCACACCACAGCTTTAATCTTTCCTGCCAACCCTTATTGCTTTCAAATTAAACCTTTTGAAAAAAGCTAAATATCAAATAATATCAATTATTCCAGGGCCCTTCTTCTCTGGTCCTCATTACTACAGAATATTATCCTTATAAGTTATAAACCACAAAAGAAAAAAACCAAAAAAGAAAGGAAAAAACACCTCATCCCCTGTGCAACAAATTCCCACTGTGGTCCAAATTCCAAGAAACATATACTCAGTCTGACCGACTTGCTCAGAATGTGCTTTCTATCAATTCATCAAGTGAAGCTTACTAATTGTTCGCTTCCAACAATTTAGATAGAAATAAGGTGATCTGAGATGACTCACATTTGTTGAACTTCAATAGTAATTAACATCTTTCGAAGCCCTGTACATGCTGCAGGTGACTGACTGATAACTGTCCCTAGTTAGCTGAGTCAGTTACCTGATTAACCTTTAACTAGACAACAAAATTTTTTTAAAAAAGGAAAAAGAATGACTTACCAGTTCAATTCCCACTGTTCCCCAAACTCCCAGAAACGTACTGTCACTCTGTCTGTGTTTCACTCAGGATGTGCTCTGTCTCAACTGCTCATGCAAAACCCTTCTTGCCACCTCATCAACTCTAGAGAGGGCAACATTTCACCCTTTAATACCTAACAAAAATCTTACATTTTAATTGATGTATTATCCACAGCTCTCTGGGGCAGAGAGTTGAAAATTTCTGCAAACCCACGTGAAAAGTTGCTTTCACTCCTGAACGGTCAGTCTATAATTGTAAGGTTATGCCCTCTTATTCCATTTACCCTCACTGAAGGAATTATTTGACTGACTTTCTCAAACCCTTTTATGATGTTAAAAATCTTGGTAAATCACTCCTCAAGAATGTAAAGCAGTAGAAATTACCTGTCTTCATAATTGAAGTCTTCAAGCCTTGGTAACACCCTGCTGAATCTAGAGCCCATCCCTCCTCCCACCATCAGTACATCTCAACCCCAACCTCAGGAACACATGTCGTTCTGAGATTCAATGCCTAAAATTGAATACCGTGGTCCAGATAGGATGGATTGAGTTCCTGCACAACTGA